AATTTTGCAAGAATAGAATTTTTTAAATATTTATTGTGTAACGGGGATGTAAAATATTTTTTTGTCGATCTTTTAATATAAAATTTCCCCTGTATTTTTATAATAAATTGATCAACATTTCTCTCATTCATAGACGGATCATCAATTAATGATTATAGATGATCTGCACCGTAGTGTTTAATAGTAAAAATAAATAAAGCGTGAAACATGTACATATTGTACACCAAAAATTCACAAATTAATCTTAGTTAAAATTTTCATACTTGTAAGAAAAAATCTTCAGCTTTCTTTTGATATAATTTTTTTCAAAGTATCTTTCCTAAAGCTTCAAAAAAATACCATTGGTTGTAAAAATATTTTTTCTTTGTATTTTCAACATTACACATACTATTTACAAGCTTTTATATATGTATACAACTTTAAAACAATATAAACATTGTTTTTAATCTCAGGAATTTGGTTTTCTTTATTAATATTAATAAAAAATATCACAACATTGTTGGAGAAAGAAATAAAATAATTTATCCTTTTAAAACTTTTATTGAAAATGATATGTTTAATTAATGGTAAAATGTAGATGTGAATTCTTTATTATGAAGCAGAATGCATAATTATAAATGCTTATGCATATGTTTTTTTCAGTAACATTCCTTTACATAAAATACATAATAATAATAATATCCTTTCCTACATGTAAATTTAATGACCAATCTTTAATAGTATTAAATATGCACATGAAGTATACCTATTATTTTATATATACACCGCCTTGTTTTTCTCTGTTGTCTTTGAAATAATAATAAAAATAAATATACTTTTAATAATAGTTTATATATATGTATGTGTGTGTGTGTGTGTATATATTATTTCTTTACCTGATTATCATGTTCTATATATTAGTTGTAATATTTTTTATAACCTAGTTTTGTTTTTCTTTGAGGATTCTTTGTAATCTTTGAAGTAATAAAAAAAATATTGTTTTTTCTTATTATTATTATATATATATTTTTAATAATTTAATAATAGTTTATATATGTGTGTGAGTATATATATTACTTCTTTACCTGCTTATCATTCACACAATATCTATGCTTATTATAATTGTTTTAATTTTGTTATTGCCTGTAGTTTGTTTGCAAACAGAAGTAAAATGAATATAATTGTCATTAATCTTATATATAATATATGTTTCTTGGTAATTAACAATTAACAATGTCATTTCAAGCCCAATCAAGAGAAAATTTGAGAAGTATAAAGCTTTCAACAATAATAACTTAATTTTTTTGCATTGGCTGTTCAAAAACTCTTGTGTGTAAAGTTTTCTATGTAAACTTCTCTTTTTTACTATGAAATGTATGACATTTTTAATTTAGGAGTGGAGACAGTTTTGGAATTGGAAGATCTGCAAATATCTATATGTGTAACATTGAATTGTCCCCCATATATTTACTTACCCCAAGGCAATAGTAAACGTCTCACAAAAATTAGTTTTTGGAGTGTTATGGTGCAGGTCATCTATACTCATCAAAAATGTAGATCATTCCGAAATTTCAGATAACTATCAATGAATTTTTATT